GTGATCTCATTATAAGTTGAATTCTTATAGATGAGATGCTCCCCTACATCCTCGTTGTCAAACATTCTTTAAAAACCAAAAAAAAATTCGTCATAAGCATTTCTACCAAATTTGAAAGACCAAACGTACCAACAGGCATCATGACTGCTTGTGAAGGTTGTGCTGGAGCGGACGCCATCATATACGGTTCTCCGTAGAATCCTCCAGTATACTGGTAAGACATTCCGGGTGGCGCTGCAGTTGGTTGCGCCGGCATCGGAGCATAGTAGAACTATGAGTTAAGCATTCATCCTTTAATATAATTCTACAGGCAAAAACGAACCTGATTCGGGTCAAGAATTTGACCTGCTGTTTGCATCTTGGTAGTGTTAATAGAAGTTAGCTTTTACGTGATACTGATGTGCACGGATGTGATAAAACAACTAAATACAGCCCCACTATCAATGTTAGTCAGGAATGAGTGGATGCTGTAAATCTGCTGCAAAAAAACTTATTTGAATAAAAAGAGATAAGATGAAATTTCAGCATGATAGCGGGACTCATTAAAAGATACCAAAAGCACCAAGAACTACAACACCAAAGACATTGGAATCCACTGGAAACCTAGAGAAAGAAAAGAGGAAGACTGATGAAGAGATCGCACATTTAACCCGCCGGCCCGCCAAACTTGTCATTGATTGATTGACGGATGATCAAACCAAAATCCCTGGAGCAACAGCGAACTCGACATTCAATAACAATTCGACTAGTATTTCTATCGAATTTTAGGCTCCTTTTAAACAGCGTTACAAGATGTGTCACAACTTCGACAAATTCCAATTAGAGTAAAACACGCGCTAAAAGTAGAAGCAGAAATAGGAATTAATATCAGAGTGATGACGTTTCTATTTTACAGGGGAAGGTTACTCGGCCTGATAGTTTAGATTGAGGGAAATACTATCAAATGTGACTTCAAACGCTGATTCCAAATTTGCCTTCCGTATCTGCGGAGCGTTCCTTTGGAAGAAATGGCTAACGTTATTCTTTATCAAAAATGGTTTACAAGATCTGAATTAAAGCTTGAAATTTAGACCCAGAACATCAGCGCAAAGGTTGTATTTAACGAAACATGTCTTCATAATAGACCCTTTGCCTGTTGTTCCATGTTTGATGTTGTAGAGCAATTATTGACGATACGCACAAGCTATTCGCACAGAAAAGCTTCCATAACTTCTTCCAGATAACGCTTGGTAGACATGAAAGGCAAATTATCTCTTGTTGTA